ATATTGATTCTTCCTAACCATAAACATGGAATGTTTCTCCATCTGTTTGTGTCATCTCTTATTTCATTGAGCAGTGGCTTGTAGTTCTCATTGAAGAGGTCCTTTATGTTCCTTGCTAGTTGTATTCTTAGGTATTTTGTTCTCTTTGTAGCAATTATGAATGCAGTTCATTCTTGATTTGGCTCTCTTTAAGGCTGTGATTCGTGTATAGGAATGTTTATGATTTTAGCACGTTGATTTTGTATACTGAGACTTTGCTGAAGTTGCTTATAAGTTTAAGGAGATTTTGGGCTGAGACAGTGGGGTCTTGTAACTATACAATCTTGTCATCTGCAAATAGAGACAATTTGACTTCCTCCTTTCCTATTTGAATACCCTTTATTTCTTTTACTTGCCTGATTGCTCTGGCTAGAACTTCCAGTACTATATTGAATAGGAGTGGTGAGAGAAGGCATCCTTGTCTAGTGCCAGATTCCAAAGGGAATGCTTCCAGTTTTTGCCCATTCAGTATGATATTGGCTGTTGGTTTGTCATAAATAGCTTTTATTATTTTGAGATATGTTCCATCAATACCTAGTTTATTGAGGGTTTTTAGGATAAAGGGCTGCTGAATTTTGTCAAAGGCATTCTCTGCATCAATTGAAATAATCATGTGGTTTTTGTCTTTTGTTCTGTTTATGTGGTGAATTACGTTTATAGACTTGCGTATGTTGAACCAGCCTTGTATCCCCAGGATGAAGCCTACTTGATCACGGTGGATACGCTTTTTGATGTGCTGATGGAATCGACTTGCCAGTATTTTATTGAAGATTTTTGCATCTATGTTCATCATGGATATTGGCCTGAAGTTTTCTTCTCTTGCTGAATCTCTGCCAGGTTTTGGTATCAGGATAATGCTGGTCTCATAAAATGATTTGGGAAGGATTCCCTCCTTTTGGATTGTTTGGAATAATTTCAGAAGGAATGGTACCAGCTCCTCTTTGTATGTCTGGTAGAATTCGGCTGTGAACCCAACTGGACCTGGGCTTTTTTTGGGTGGAAGGCTCCTAATTGCTGCCTCAACTTCAGACCTTGTTATTGGTCTATTCAGGGTTTCGACTTCTTCCTGGTTTAGGCTTGGGAGGATGCCAAGTGTCCAGGAATTTATCCATTTCTTCCAGGTTTACCAGTTTATGTGCATAGAAATGTTTGTAATAATCTCTGATGATGGTTTGTATTTCTGTGGAATCTGTGGTGATATCCCCTTTATCGTTTTTTATTGCATCTATTTGATAATTGTTTCTTTCTTTCTTTTTTTTTTTTTTATTAATCTGGCTAGTGGTCTGTATATTTTGTTGATCTTTTCAAAAAACCAGCTCCTGGGTTTATTGATTTTTTGAAGGGATTTTTGTGTCTCTATCTCCTTCAGTTCTGCTGTGATCTTAGTTATTTCTTGTCTTCTGCTAGCTTTTGAGTTTTTTGATCTTGCTCCTCTAGCTCTTTCAATTTTGATGGTAGGGTGTCGATTTCAGATCTTTCCTTGCTTCTCATGTGGGCATTTATTGCTGTATATTTTCCTCTAGAGACTGCTTTAAATGTGTCCCAGATATTCTGGTATGTTGTGTCTTTGTTCTACTGTCTGTTATGATTTCCATTCTTTTGCATTTGCTGAGCAGTGATTTACTTCCAATGATGGGGTCAATTTTAGAGTAGGTGTGATGTGGTGTTGAGAAGAATGTATATTCTGTGGATTTGGGGTGGAGTGTTCTGTAAATGTCTATTAGGTTTGCTTGTTGCAGGTCTGAGTTCAAGTCCTAGATATCCTTGTTAATTTTCTGTCTCATTGATCTGTCTAATATTGACAATGGGGTGTTAATGTCTCCCACTATTATTTCATGGGAGTCTAAGTCTCTTTGTAAGTCATTAAGAACTTGCTTTATGTATCCGGTGCTCCTGTATTGGTGGCATATATATTTAGGATTGTTAGCTCTTTTTGTTGCATTGATCCTTTTACCATTATGTAAGGTCCTTCTTTGTCTCTTTTGATCTTTGTTGCTTTAAAGTCTATTTTATCAGAGACGAGAATTGCAACTCTTGCTCTTTTTCTGGTCTTCATTTGCTTGGTAAATCTTCCTCCATCCCTTTATTTTGAGCCTTTGTGTATCCTTGCATGTAAGATGGGTTTCCTGGATACAGCACACTGATGGGTTTTGGCTTTTTATCCAATTTGCCAGTCTGTGTCTTTGATTGGGGCATTAGTCCATTTACATTTAGGGTTAATATTGTTATGTGTGAATTTGATCCTGCCATTTTGATGCTAGCTGGCTGTTTTGCCCGTTAATTGATGCAGCTTATTTATTGTGTTGATGCTCTTTACCATTTGTTAAGTTTTTGGAGTGGCTGGTACTGGTTGTTCCTTTCTATGTTTAGTGCCTCTTTCAGGAGCTCTTGTAAAGCAGGCCTGGTGGTGATGAAATCTCTGAGTACTTGCTTTTTCATAAAGGATTGTCTTTCTCCTTCACTTATGAAGCTTAATTTGGCTGGATATGATATTCTGGGTTGAAAGTTTATTTCTTTAAGGATGTTGAATATTAGCCCCCACTCTCTTCTGGCTTGTAGGGTTTCTGCTGAGAGATCTGCTGTGAGTCTGATGGGTTTCCTTTGTGGGTAACCTGACCTTTCTCTCTGGCCACTCTTAGCATTATCTCCTTCATTTCAACCCTGGTGAATCTGATGATTATGTGCCTTTGAGTTGCTTTTCTTGGGGAATATCTTTGTGGTGTTCTCTGTATTTCCTGGACTTTAGCATTGGCCTGCCTTGCTAGGTTGGAGAAGTTTTCCTGGATAATATCTTGAAGAGTATTTTCCAGCTTGGATTTATTCTCTCTATCACATTCAAGTACACCTATCAAATGTAGATTAGGTCTTTTCACATAGTCCCATATTTCTTGGAGACTTTGTTCATTCTTTTTTACGCTTTTTTCTCTAGTACTGCTTTCTCATTTTATTTCATTGAGTTGATCTTCAATCTCTGATATCCTTTCTTCTGCTTGGTCAATTCGCCTGTTGAAACTTGTGTATGCTTCGTGAAGTTCTTGTGTTGTGTTTTTCAGCTCCATCAATTCGCTTATATTCCTTGCTAAGTTGTTTATTCTTGTTAACATTTAGTTAAATCTTTTTTCAAGGTTCTTAGTTACTTTGCATTGGGTTAGAACTGTTCTTTTAGCTCACAGAAGTTTCTTATTATCCACCTTCTGAAGCCTGTTTTTGTCAATTCATCACACTCATTCTCTATCCAGTCTTGTTCCCTTGCTGGTGAGGAGTTGTGATCCCTTGTAGGAGGAGAGGCATTCTGGTTTTAGGTGTTTTCATCCTTTTTGCATTGGTTTCTTCCCATCTTTGTGGATTTATCTACCTGTCATCTTTGTATTTGTTGACTTTCAGATTGGGTCTCTGAGTGGACATACAGTTTGTTGATGATGAAGTTATTTCTTTCTGTTTCTTAGTTTTCCTTCTAGCAGTCTGGCCCCTCTGCTGTAGGACTGCCAAGGTCCACTCCAGGCCCTTCTTGCCTGGGGATCACCTGCAGTGACTGCAGAACAGTAATAGTTGCTGCCAGTTTCTTATTCTGCTAACTTTGTCCCAGAAGGGTACCTGCCAGATGTCAGTTTGAGTTCTCCTTTATGAGGTGACTCTTTGGAGATACAGGGGTCAGGGAGCTGCTTGAAGAGACAGTCTGTCCTTTATAGGAGCTCAAGTACTGAGCTGTGAGCTCCATTGTTCATTCAGAGCTGCTGGGCAGGTATGTTTAAGTCTGCTGCAGCAGAACTCATAGACCCTGTTTTTTTGTTTGTTTGTTTGTTTGTTTTTTTCCAGATGCTCTGTCCCGGGGAGATATCGCTTTATTTATAAGTTTCAGCCGGGCACGGTGGCTCAAGCCTGTAATCCCAGCACTTTGGGAGGCCGAGGCGGGTGGATCACAAGGTCAAGAGATCGAGACCATCCTGGTCAACATGGTGAAACCCCGTCGCTACTAAAAATACAAAAAAGTAGATGGGCATGGTGGCACATGCCTGTAATCCAAGCTACTCAGGAGGCTGAGGCAGGAGAATTGCCTGAACCCTGGGAGGCAGAGGCGGAGGTTGCGGTGAGCCGAGGTCATGCCATTGCACTCCAGCCTGGGTAACGAGCGAAACTCCGTCTCAAAAAAAAAAAATAAAATAAATAAATAAAAATAAGTTTCAGTCATACTGCTGCCTTTTTTCATGACTGCCCTGCCCAGTGGGGAGGCATCCTAGTCACTGTCTGCCTGCAGAGGTTTTGCTTAGCTGCTGTGGGCTCCTCCCATCTGCCATGTGAACTTCCCTGCAGTCCTGTTTATGTGGGTATAGTTAGAACTGCCTTTACAATGGTGGCCCACCTCTGTAATGGTGGACTCTCTCTGCAATGATGGGCTGCCTCAGTGATAATGGGCTGTCTCAGCAATGGTGGACTACCTCTGTAGTGGTGGACTGCATCGGTAATGACAGATGCCCCTCCCCCACAGAGCTGGATTGTTCTGGGTTCAGCTGTGCTTGTTGCAAATCTCAATCCAGAGTGTTTCAGATTGCTGTTTTTTTGTGGGGGTGGGACTAGCTGAGCCTGATCACCTGACTCCCTGCCTCAGATCCAGTTTTTTTTAGTTGAGCAGGCAATTCTGTTTCTCAGGTGTTCCAGTCACCTATTGAAAAGGCACTGGGATCTGTGTAAAATGTAAATAAAAAATACAAACAAATTTCCTTTTTAAAGCACTTTTAAGAAAAAAAGCAAGGCCTTGGAAATTTTGGTTCCTTTTTCCTCCCCTATTGCAAATTCTTATGGTTTGGGTTGGGTAGTGGAGAGCATGTCATGTCATCTGCAGGTGGCACTGTCCACAGTGGGCAGGCTGGCCGGTCTCTCTACTCGAAGGTGACCACGTTTAGATTCTGAGATGGGAAGAGGAGGGTAAATAGGTCACGGCAGCCTTTTTCGTTATTGTTTTCAGTTTAACTTTTCCTTTTTTGCTGTCTAATCATCCTCGTCAGTCTTCTGCTTCTTGGTATCGACATCGTCATCCTCATCATCTTTAGCTGCCCGCTTGCCTGCAGCAGACTCAGTTTCCTCACCTTCATCTCCATCCTCCTCCTCCTCACCATCACCTTCTTCTTCCTCCTCCTCTTCCTCCCCACCTTCTTCTTCTTCCTCATCTACCTCATTGCCAGCCTCCTGCTCCCCATTTTCCTCATTCTCCTCATTCCCGTTAGCAGAGGCGTCTCTTCCATTTTCCGCCTCTTCCACAACTTCTTTCTTCTCCTTCAAGTCCTTGGTGGTGATTTCGGAGCTGGTGTCTACCGCTGCGTCTGACGTGGTGGGGCACGCCGCTGATCCGATGCAGGGGATTAAAAAGAAAGCGAGAACTCAGGAACTCTGGCGATAAAGCTGCCAGAGTCCGCGACGGCACGCGGCTGAGGTGGCTGCCACGAGCAACGAGTTGGACGAGGAACAATGCAAAGATGGCTTTTCAGAGCAGCCAGTGGGAGCTCTAAATATCATTTCTATCTGCTACTTACAACTCAAACACCATTGCATCTGCTGTATATTATGGCTCATGTAGAAGAGCAATTTGGAGGGCAGCCTGATGACACTGGAGAACCTTCTCCTGTTCTGGGGATCACTCAGAACTAGCATGTATTTAGGTCACTAGTAGGTTTTTGGGTCACTCCGTAAATGAGCCAGAGTAAGAAAAACAAATTTGGAATTTGTAACTTCTAAAATCCAAATAATCCCACTAGACATTATGCTTCTTTCTCAGTTGTAGGATGGGCCAGATGCAACAATGTATCCTTTACCTTAGAAGAAATATCTTACATGCCTTACACCACTGAACCCCAAGAAATTTGACTTGGGTAGAAGGACAAATTCATTTCCCACCCTCTGCATGCAAATGTTTTACCAGTAAGTCTAGAGTCATTGTTACTTTTTGCTCCTGTGTCCAATCAGTATAAGATCACCAGTGTAATGGATCAGTGTGGTATCTTGTGGAAGAAAAAAGAAATCAAGCTCCCTGCAAACTAAATTAGGACATAAGACTAGAGAGCTGATACACCCCTGAACTAGAACAGTGAAGTTTTATTGCTGGCCTTGCCAGCTGAAAGAAAACTGCTTATTGTGGGTGTTACAGAGATACATGGAGAAAAAGGCATTTGCCAAGTTATTAGCTGTATACCAGGTAACCAGGGTATGTGTTCATTTGCTCTTGCAATAATTACCGTATTTGGTACAGAAGTGTGAATTTGACTTACTACTTGTTTAAAGTGTACCAATTCACTGTATTAGTCCGTTGTCATGCTACTGATAAAGACATATCCAAGACAGGGCAATTTACAGAAGAAAGAAGTTTAATGGACTTACAGTTCCATGTGGCTGGAGAGGAGCCACAATCATGGTAGAAGGTGAAAGCCATGTCTCACATGGTGGCAGACAAGAGAAGAAAGAATTTGTGCAGGGAAATGCCCATTTTTAAAACCCTCAGATCTCATGAGACTTATTCACTATAATGAGAACAGCATGGGACAGACCTGCTCACATGATTCAATTACCTCCCACCAGGTCCCTCCCATGAAAATGTGAAAGCAACTTTGGAACTGGGTAACAGGCAGAGATTGGAACAGTTTGAACAGCTCGGAAGAAGACAGGAAAATGTGGAAAAGTTTGGAACGTCCTAGAGACTGAATAAACTCTCTATGCTGATCTCTCTCCCTATCACCTCTTTAAGGCAAATAACTTAGATTTACCCTTTTGAGGCTATCTTCTATATCTTGTTGCCATATTTTATTCTTTTTTTATTATTTTTTCCTTTATCTTCTCTGACTGTGTATACTCAGCTAGCTTGTCTTTGAGTTCACTAATTCTTTTTTCTGCTTTATCAGTTCTGCTGTTGAGAGATTGATGTATTCTTCAGTATGCCAATTGAATTTTTCAGCTCTGGGGTTTTTGCTTAGTTTTTTAAAAATTTTCAATTTCTTTGTTAAATTTAACTGATAGAATTCTGAATTCCTTCTCTGTGTTATTTTTAATTTCATCAAGCTTCCTCAAAATAAGTATTTTGAATGCTCTCTCTGAAAGATCACATGCCTGTGTCTCTGAAATTGGTTGCTGGTGTCTTATTTAGGTCATTTGGTGAAGTTTTGTTTTCCTGGATTGTCTTGATGCTTGAGGATGTTCTTTGATGTTTGGGCATTGAAGACTTAGGCATTTATTGTGATCTTCTGTTTTGGTTTGTTTATACTTATCCTTCTTGAGAAGGTTTTCAGGTATTCAAAGGGAATTGAATGTTGTGATCTAAGTCTTTCATCACTGTAGCCTTGGTTGTCTTGGGTAAGATTCAAGAGAATTCCCTGGATTACCAGGCAGAGTCTCTTGTTCACTTCCTTTATTTTCCCCCACACAAAATGGAATCTCTCGTTCCATACTGAGCTGCCTGGAGTTAGAAGTGGATTTACATAAACACTTCTAATTCCACTACCACTGGGACTGAGCTGGGTCAGACCTGAAGCTGGCACAATAGTGGGTCTTACCCATGACCTGTGGCAACTCTTGCCTGGCTACCACTGATTTTGATTCAAGGCACAGGGCTCTTCAGTCAGCAGGTGGTGAATCCAGCCAGGTTCATGTCTTTTCCTTCTGGATGGCATGTTCTGTTAATGGCCCAGAGTGGGTCTAGAAATGCTGTCTAGGAGCTACGGCCAGGAGTCAGGAATTATAGAAATCTACTTGATGCTTTATTTTACTGTTGCTAAGCTCATACCCAAGTTGCAAGGTAAAGTACTTTTTACTTTTTTCTTTTCTTTTCTAAGGCAGAGTATTTTCCTATTGCTACCACATCTAGGAATGTGCTCAGTCACACCTGAAGCCGTCACAGTACCAGGTTTCACCCAAGGCCCATGGTCGGTACTGCCTGGTTTCTCCTGTTTATTCAAGGCCCAAAGGTTTTTTAGTCTGCAGGTGATGAATCTTGCCAGGACTGGTTTCTTCCCTTCAAAGCAGCAAGTTTCCTTCTGCCCAGGTTGTGTCTAGCAATGTCATCTGTGAACTGGGACCTGGAATGGGGACCTGAGGACACTGCTTGATGTTTTATTTTACTGTGGCTGAGCTGACATTCAAGTTGCAAGACAAAGTTTTCTTTACTTTTTTCTCTCCTTTCCTCATGTGAAAGGAGTTTCTTCCAGAGCTGCAAGCTGAACTGCCTGAGATTAGGAGAGAGGTGACACAAGCACTATCTTGGCTATTCTAGCTGGTGTCTCACTGGGTAACATGCATCCAAAGTCCACTGGTTCTAAGCCCAGCATAGCACCAGGACTTCTCCGGGAATTCTAATCCTTGTAGCCTGAATTGCCTTTCAAATTTATTTAGGACCCTAGAGCACTTTAGTGCTAAGTGGTGGGGCTAGCAAGAACTCAGGTTCCAATGGTTGGGGTAGACAATCCCCTTCAGGCTAGGGCTGGTCTAAATGCTTCCTCCTTGGGCACTGGACAAATTTTGTCCTGTATTGCTTTCCACTGTGACAGGATAACACTGAGTTCCAAGGCACAATCCCATAATCACTGCATTCTCCCTCCCTCAAACACACTGTTTCATTATCTGTGCCTCACAGACACTGTGGAAGGATGCAGAAGGGGTGGTGTCAGCAACTCAAAATTTTCTTTCTTATCCTCTGCAGTGCCCCTTTCCTTCATATGATGTTAAAACCAGGTACTGTGACCATTCACCTGATTAGAGGTTCTTACGAAAGTGCTTTCTTGTGTCAATAGTTGTTCAGATTGGTGTTCCTGTGGTGTGGAGACAATAAGGGGAGGGTTCTATAGAGCCATTTTACTTCCTCTTCTGCCTTTCCCTTTTGACAATTAGATTATAATGCTTTTCAGTGTGGACTTCTTTAGGACAATTTTTATCAGAATCCTTTGAGCTTCTTAATTTAGATGTCTATTTGCTACTTCAGATTTGGGATGTTTCAGCTATCATTTCTTCAAATAAGCCCACTTCCCAATTTAATCTCCCTCTTCTCCTTCTTGCACTTCTATAACATGTATATTAACCCACTTGATGGTGGCTCATAAATTCTGTAGACTGTCTTCACTCTTTTCTATTTTTTTTCTGTCTAGATAATGTCAAATGACCTGTCTTTTAAACTTGACATTATTTTTCTGTTTCATCAAGTCTATTGTTTGTCTTTGTGATTTTTTAAATTTAATAATTCAAGGACACCCCATTTTATAAATGATGCTAGCAAAACTGGATAGGCACATGTAGAAGAATGAAACTGGATCTCTCTCTCTCAACATCTACAAATACCAACTCAAGACAAATCAAAGACTTAAATCTAAGATCTAAAACTATAAAAATTCTAGAAGAAAACCTGGAAAAATTCTTATGAACATTGGCTTAAGCAAAGAAGTTATGACTAAGACCCCCAAAGCAAATCCAACTATAACGAAAATAAATAAATGAGACCTAATTAAACTAATAAGCTTCACAGCAAAAAAAAGAATCATCAGAGTAAACATACAACCCACAAAATGGGAGAAGATATTTGCAAACTACGCATCTGATGAAGGACTAATATCCAGAACTACGAGAAACTCACATAAATTAGCAGGAGAAAACATATATATAAACCCATCAAAAAGTGGACAAACGACATGAATAGACATTTATCAAAAGCAGATGTACAAATGGCTGAGAAACATATGAAAAATGCTCAACATCACTAATCATGAAGTAAATGCAAATTAAAACCACAATGAAATACCACTTTATTCCAGCCAGATTAGCCATTATTAAAAAGTTAAAAAAAAAAATGGTGTTGGCATGAATGTGGTGAAAAGGCAAAGTTTATATCAGGTGTCCCCAAACTTTTTACACAGGGGGCCAGTTCACTGTCCCTCAGAACGTTGGAGGGCCGCCACATACTGTGCTCCTCTCACTGACCACCAATGAAAGAGGTGCCCCTTCCTGAAGTGCGGTGGGGGGCCGGATAAATGGCCTCAGGGAGCCGCATGCGGCCTGTGGGCCGTAGTTTGGGGACGCCTGGTTTATACGCTGCTGATAGGAATGCAAATTATTATAATTTCTATGGGAAACAGTATGGATATGTCTTAAATAATTAAAGGTAGATCTACCATTCAATCCAGCAATTCCACTACAAGGTATCTACCCCTTTAAAGGAAAAGAAGTCATGTCAAAAAGACACCTGCATGTGTATGTTTATCACAACACAATTAACAATTGCGAAGACATAGAACCAACCTAAGCACTCATAAACCAATGAGTGGGTAAAGAAGATGTGGGACTGGCCACTGTGGCTCACACCTGTAATCTCAGC